ATAAAGTGAACACAGCTCATAGTATCAATATATACAAATATTATAATTCAGGGGGATATTCAGGCTCTAATGCTTACCCTGAAGGAGCATTCAGAGATTAAGTTGGGAATTCAATTTAGTATAGCCTCAATTCTAAGTCTTCTTAATCTGTCGATAAGTAGTACATATTTCGCCTTTGACAGTAAGTTTTATGAAAATATGCAAGAACTTGTAATGGGTTCTTGATTAGCTTCAATTATTGAAAATAACTATATGGCAAAGTTTAAAGAGCGCTTAATGCAAGAGGTAATTCTGATTCATAAATTGTTTTTTGGATACATATATAATTATTTTGTGGTTTATCAGCATGCTAAGGGCAATTGAAGGTATGGAGACCAAGATGGTGTGGCGGTATACAAGTTGTATACAAGTCGTTCGAACTTGTCTTCGCAACTCGGTCATATTTTTCAGAATGACCAAGAGGAACACACCTTATTCAGAATCCATAGTGTGCATGATAATTTCCAGAGTCAGACCGTGGACTTGATATATTTCCGGACGTTTCATCGTACAACGTAGTCGGCATTATCAGTTAGCCTTGCCATTCTTAGCACCACAATACAACTCGTCAAAGAGACAAGTGAAGTCGATTCTTTGACCAATTTTCTGCTAAATCGCTGTGGTATCTCTCCTTCTGTCCTGATGTATTCACCTATCTTGTATCCTCTTCATCCCTCCACTATCACAATTTCTTACTTGCCTATTTCAATCTATACCTACACCCCGCTGGTGCCCTCATCTCCCACTGTTCTGGGAGCGTTGATCCAAATCTGCCTATTTAATCCCCAATATAACGGGACACTCATGAGGATGTTATTTAGTAACAAAGTATGCGGGAATAATTCACAATTTATAGTCTCATCACAACTACAGACTGAAGATCAGAGTAAAGAGGAGTTTTATCATCAGATGCGTATGACTAATGGACAAAGAGTTGAACAAGCTGATTTAGACTCTCCTTAGTAATGACTACGCCGAAGAATTGATAGAGAGAAATATCGGTGTCATAAAGAGCAGATTTCAATGTGGATATTATGAAAATAGAATCGGAAATCGAGAGTACGACCAAAAATAGATATGCCTGCCCTCCTGTGAAATAAGACAAAAATTGCGACCGTTATAAAAAAAATGGAATAACAAGGCGATAAGAAAAGAGAAGACAACACTATTCACCAGTCTGACGACGCAACACAAGAAAATTGACAAAATGTATTGTTCGGCGGCTTATCGCAGCAAATACGGCAACTGCGAGAACAAGCATATTGGCGAAGCAGGAAGAAAAATTGGCCTATGAATCAAGGAACACCAGAAACTCTGCATAAACATGTATACGGACAGATTCGAAAATGCGGAACACATTGCACGGACGAGACACGAGATCGACTGGAAATCGACAGAAAGTTTGGCTGAAAATTGTGAAAATACGTGAAAAAGCAAGATTCGAGAGACCGAAATACATCTAATGAACATGAGATATGAAAAGGGTAGAATTAGCGAACACTGCATATTCGAAGATATGAAGACCAAGATTGTGTTTGCGTGGTCCTCGGTATCGTCAGTCTCCTTTCCATTTATAGAAGTGGGTTGACCTCGTTTTCGCAACTTGGTCTTCTTATCAGGGACACTTGATTGAACGCATCTTGTCCGAAGTTATCTGCCATAATAGTCAACATAATTCTTAGCATCAGACTGTTAACTTGGTACATTCTCATACGTGTCACCGGCATCGTAGTCGGCATCATCAGTGAGTCTTGCCATTCTCCGCACCAAGCTACAAACTCGTCAGAGACAAGTGAAGTCAATCCCTCAAGATGGTTAGATTATCATTCTTCTTTCCGTCCTGGTCCATCTATCAACTGTAGATACGATGAAAAAGTTGGTTTCGATGAATCTCCTGAGATATCATTGTTAGGGGGACCTTCATTTCGAATTAAAGTGCATGAAGAAGAGATTCGTTGGTCGATCTCACCAGATGAGGACGTATGAAACTCATTATATTGCAGCCGTTTGGCTTTTATACGATATCCATGTTGACGTAGTCAACGAGACTTCCTCCCTCGTTTCAAGTGAAAACGTGCCGAGCTTTCGTCCATTATATGATGGACATCATTAGAGCTGGGTGTCATTCTTGTAAAAGTCTTACTTTAACACATCCGTCCTCATCTGGTGAATCTCTTCTTCATGCACTTTCATTCCAAATGAAGGTCCCCCTAACATCTATCAACTCTTTATCCTCCTCATCAGAACTTCTGACTTGTTTACATTCCACTCGTAAAAACGTGTGCCTTTTTCGGCAAATGTAGTCTAGTCTCATCACACCAGCTATTCACCTTGGCTCCCTCCCTTCCGATTGGGGTCTACCTCATTGTCCGATAGATCCGTTTATTATCTTTCTGGTTGACCGATTTTACTCTGTGGAATGTAAACAAGTCAGGAGTTCTGATAGGGCGGAGGTTGGATAAGAGGGTGGGGAGTAGTAGATGGACCAGGACAAAAAAAAGGAATAATCGAGGGATTGACTTCACTTGTCTCGTTGACGAGTTTGTAGCTTGGTGCGAAGAATGGCAAAAATCACTAACGATGCTGGCGAAACGTCTGAGAATGTACCAAGTCCACTGTCTGATGCTGGGAGTCATGACAACTACTATGGCAGAGAACTTCGGATAAGGTGCGTTCAACTTTGCATATTGCCTAAGCAAACTCGGAAAATATCAGGTAACAACAAGATCAGCAAAAAGAGGACAACTAGATCAAGAAAAAATGTTGAACAGGAGGAAGAGAACTCGCAGGAAGGAGGCGACAGGAGAGCAAGTAGAGATCAAGACTAGACTTCTACAGTAAGCCGAGACAAGACAAGTAGAACCACAACATATGAGGGTTGGTAGTGTATAAGAATGTAACTGGTAGATCAACTTTCCCACAGTTAGAAGTTGTTTGACCTTGTTTTCGCAACTTGTTCATATTGTTAGGAAGACTTAGATGAATACACCTAGTCCAGAGTCCATTGTATGCATGATCATTTCCAGAGTAGGACCGTGGACCGTTTATAAGTAGGTTTTCAAAACCAACAATAGATAATATCATTGTGGGAAAATTCAGCTATCAATCCCCTTATCACCTTAAACGAAATAGGATGAATACATCTAATATATATGATCTACTGTTAGTCTCGAAAGCTCATCAACCAAATCAGACGTACGAGATTACGCAATCCCAATCATGCCTTTACTTAGGTCGTTAAGCCTTGATGATTCGAGCCTGAAGTTAGGTTTTTCTCTAGCTAATCTTAGTTATGGCTTCTATTGTGTACAAATGTTAACATGCATACACACACACACATAAGTTTAAGAAAACTAACCAAACCATTATATAGAAATCTATTCTTTCGTTTTGATTAGATATAGCATGTAGGATAGAGCTGATCAGTCTTATTGACTTTGTATTAACTTGACACTTCTACTAGAATAAGTTCCAGCTCTGTTAATGTCTATCATACGACGAAGGAAAGTTCAGTCCGTTTTCACCCGAAGCAAGGGAGGATGTCTCGTGGACTACGTCAACTTGAACGCCAAACGGCTGCAGTACAGCAGGAATCAGCCATCGTCTTCTGGTGAGAGTAATATACGAATCTCGTCACCATGCATTTTCATATTAAATAAAAGTCTCCACAATAATATCAGCTCAGGAGACTCATCGAAACCCGCTTTTACTTAGTATATGATTTTTACAGCCATATTCTAGATATCAAATATATATACTTATATATATATATATATATATATATTAACATGCTTCCATATTACCAATAATATGAACTAACCAAATCACCATATGACTAACGAAAATGCATATATATACGTACTTGCACTTGTTTTCATTCCTGCTGGCGCATAAGTAGGAATCTATCGGTGATAGGTAAAAGTAGGCACCACTTCTATTGCGTAATGTAGGAAACACATCTGGTTAAGTTGATCATCCTTTTATCTGCATGTGAGAATGAGAGAGAGTGAACTGAAGCCTATGGAATGTGTGATCGTGACCAAAACCATTACCAACAGAAGACTAGTTAGTTCACTCCATTTTTTCTGGTGGTTCAGCACCCTCTCTATTCTCAGGTTCACCAATTAAGCATAAGTAATAGGAATACTTAACTTTGTACCGTTGTTCTTGGCATTTAATGTATAACCTAATTTATTAAATGCAATGCCTCTCTATCCTCGTTTAAGTTTTAATTACTTTCAACTAACACTACTGGTTTTGTACACGCGCATAAAAAGAAATAGGCAGACGCAAACATGCTTCTAGATTGACATACAACTTAAACTAACCAAATCACCTTAGACCTAATACAAATGCATATATTTAGGGTATGCATGAAGCATTTAAGAAGATCATGAGTTATTTTGATACGTTAGCTTGAATATGACTGAATGAATGATAGTCTGCTCTGATAATGTTCATCATGGCCCATTATAACCAGTTAAGCCGACCGAGAGTTGGCCGAGAGGAATCTGATGGGATCAGCCTTAAATTCACCTCATCGTCACACTTTTTCTTAAAATGAAAGTGGGCTCAGCAAGAATAATCAAAGAGATTCCCATAACCCTAACCTCTCTTCACATTTACAACTGCCTTATACTCGGTGCAC